CATGTGTACAGGGGTAACACATCATACTAAATATGTAAGGTCATATCTACATGGGTTTGATTACAGAAACTAATAAAGTATTCTCTAAATAATGAAAAAAAGAATAAGATAAGACTATAAGAGCGAGAAGCAATTTAAATATGTTCAGGGACCATTTTCATCTCCAGAATTAAGGATTATTTTAATGTTACATCATTGCCTTTTCTCTTTTACTTTCCTTTTTAGTTTTATTTTAGGATTCCCTATTTTTAATGTTCATACAGAGATTTCTTTAACTGAAATACCGAATAGTTTCTTTGGTGTGAAAAACTACAATAGTACACAGGATCCTAATGAGATAATTAATAATGTGAAATAGGAAGTAAAGGGCTAAAGGGGTAGGGAAAGTGGGAAGGGTGGGGGAAAGGTAATAAAGGAGAGGAAAAAAATATGAGAAACTGAAAAAATGGAAAAAAATATTAGAAACTGAAAAAGTGGAAATAAAGTGTTTGGAAACGGGGAGGGGAGGAAAGGGTGAAGGGAGGGCAGGGACAAGGGGAAAAAATGAGAATCAAGACCTATTATGTAAAGGTACAGAATCCCAATGATGAATGTAATTGTACTGTATACCTAGATTGTACCAATAAACTCAATTAAAAAAAATGTTGAAAAAGAGAAAGAGGAGGATAATAAAAACCCATGTGGACCTATATGTTCCATGCATGCTTCCCAGCCCCTGCTCTGGGTTCCAATTCATAATTCCTTCCCGGGCAGACCTGTGCGTCTATGTTCAGTGCCATATGTCAGAATATTTACTGAGAGGATTACTGTTGGGCTTGCTCATGATCCCCTTCTGAGACACATCCCCTCAGATTCCATGACCAAACCTGAGTCTGCACCACAGCAAGCAATCCTCCTAGATGGGAACGATGGGTGTGGGTGAGAACACCTGAATAGCCAGACTACTGTTTCCCAACCTTTTGTCTCTGGGGCAGTATGGTGGATTTCCTGGCAAGAGGAACAGGTTTATGCATTTCTCCATCGGATTAAAGAGGAAAAAGGACACAAGTGGCAAGAAACCTGGAGAACAATGCTCTAGGTCCACACATGGAAAAGAAAACCCAGGGTTTTCTTGGGAAACTATTGTTTAAGGTTGTTTGGGAGAGAAGAAAGTTTATGCTCCCCTTCTGTTTTTCCTTTCATGTGAGAAGTTTGTCCTTCCAGAACAGAGAGAGAAAATGTCTAGAAGGAGAGCTGAGGACATGGAGATAGTCCCATGGTAACTGAAAGTTGAAGTCTGTCAACTAAACTGTCCTTCATTGCGCACTAGTTCACTTGTGCACTAAACATGGGCCTGCCTTGTTCCTGTGGGCAGTGGGCTAGATCACTTGCCAGACAGAGTACGCCCAGTGTCTGCCCCTGCCACCTAGGCCAGACAGGTACAGCAAGAGTGTCATGATCATAATGCAATGCTCAGACAGAGGCACTGGCCACGGCAGCCCTTGGGACTCACGGCTTGGGGCCTTGCGAAAGGCCTTTCAGAGTAGGGACATTTGAGCTCAGTGTCTAAGGAAGATGGATTCAGGGCAAAAGCAATGCATGGGTGAAGATGCCATCCACCACCCCCAGGGGCATGAAAACAGGTGGCCTATCTGGGGAACAGCACTACAGAGAGGTGAGAAGGCTGTCCCAGCAAGTCAGGGCCATGGCAGCAAGGCCTTTGCATTTAACCCAATTCTTTCTGCTTTTTCCTTTTCATAAGAACCATAGCCAAATATTTATCATAAATCATTTCCTTTAATCTTGATAGCCCTGTTTACATAGATGAAGACAGTGAGGTTCAGATGGTGAAACAGCGGGGATACAGCCGCATGATACAGAGCTTGCCTATCATGTGTAAGGCCTGAGTTCAATCCCCACTACTGCAAAACAATATAGAAAAGGTTAACCAACTGCCACAAAGAAGGGAACATCACCAAAATATATATAACTAGGAAATCCCGTGGAATGACTGAACGTTACCATGGGGGGAGGTAGATGCTGAGGTGGAAGGACAAGGTGTAGGAGCACACAGGAGACTTTAACCAGACCAGTGATATTTTCCTTCTCAAACTTGGCAGGGAAGCCTCTCTGTGGAAATGTTCCCAATGACTTTTGAGCCCCTGGGATAGAGTACTGCTCTTTTTTGGAAAGGAGCAATGTGTCAAGGCTGAGGACGCTAGGAAGCTCGTATGCTGCTGAATTTGCCACTGTGGCAGAGGTAGGTGGTTATTCACTTCACTTAACCGACAGTGCAGAGGCCATACTTCTACAAGAAAAGCAGGAGGGATAGGTTGCCCCTCCTGGCCCCCTGGGCAGAGGGTTGTGGTAACTAAACATTTCCCATCTGGAGGTGTGCAGAGAGAGTAAGGAGTCTATGCCCCACTCTTCTGTCCACAGAGGCCCAGCTTGGATGCCCTTTGGTGACTGTGCTCTGAGTTCCTTTTCAAATGAACTTCCCTTCAGTCCCACTGTTTGCTTTTTCTACCAAAGCATCCTGCTCCCTCCAGAGCAGCCTGGAGGAGGAGATCGAGCCCCCTGCCTTCCTGGCATGCAGACCTTAAAACAAGAGCCCTCTGCCATCGGACATCCTTACCATTTCCAGCTATTGAGTGTAAGCAGGTGGGCCAGGACCTGGCAAAAGCAAAGGCATTCAGAGCAATCCTCTCTCCCAGTTGCTCCATGGAAAAAGGGTCTGAACAAACAGGATGCGCTGAGAGCTGCAGAGAGCACTCTCCAGCAAGGGGGGCAGCAATGCACTCAGGCATTGGCATGTGTATGATCATGCCTGAGAGAACAAGCAGCAGGGAAACTGCAATAAGAAGCAGACACCTGGATTCAGCCAACAGCCTCTCTGGAGGGTTCTTTAGAGAACTCTCCCAGGGTCTGCAGAGGTATAGAAATTCCTGCCTTGACTCTGGCCACTCACCTTGCAGAGAACGCTGACATTTCTAGACATCAGAGAGAATGCACTGTGCCTTGTAGGACAGATGTGCAGTACTCAGGGATCTATGGGCAAATCACAACACATGTAAGGTGTGGAGGGAGAGAGGACTCATGGTTGCAGCCCAATGTTTAGGTCCTGGTGATTCTGTTTATTTCTGCCTCTGTTTCTATCTTTTTCCCCAAGTTCTGCTATTGGGCTTTGGAACCTTTATTTAGTTCCTGGTTTTGGGGTTGTTTTTTTTGGTACCGGGAATCGAACTCGGGACCTTGTGCTTGCAAGGCAGACTTTGGAACCACTGAGCTAAATCCCCAGCCTTGGAACCTATATTTAGTAAACTCTCCCAATCACTAACTTGAAAAAGAGTTCAACATCATTCAGAGAGTAGCACTCTTCTTAGAAGGAGAGGGGCCCAGGGAGCATTTCAGTATTCCCTCCTCGCTTCTTCACTGCCCCATTCTACATGGGAGAAACTGGAGGCGAAAAGAAATGTTCATTAAGGCCAGATTGGAATTCCGGCAAACAAAAGTCACCAAAGCCAACATGGATAGGAAGCAGCTTACAGAGAGGACAGGTGCTTCTGGAGGTGGACTAACCTCTCCCCAAAGGCAGAGCTTACTGATATTTGCCCCAATCCTTCAGAGACAGCATCTCTGGTACCTTCAACTGGGGGTGCATGGAATATCACCTGCAGCAACCTCTGGCTGCTAGTAATGGAGAATGAACCTGGAATCTTCTGGATGAGGCTAGAAGGATGAACAAATGTCCTCCAGTACATAGGACAGCACCATTCAACTAAGGAACTGCCCTGTGTCTTGCTAAGAGGGCAAAACTTACGGAACTGGCCATCTCTGACACACAATCGAACTCCAAACCTCTCCAACCTAGAATCTGAACGTGAAACCTCAGGATGGAGTCACTGAGGAGAACTGATTCTAAAGGTCACAGTTAGTTCTAGATGAAACAAAAAGCACTCAGAAAGAGAAAATGAGTCTGACATGTAGAGCCCATCATTGCCTTTAAAGGTGACCCTGAAGCAAACTCCCCAGTTCCCGAGAAGAGCACCTCCCTTGCAAAGCATTACATTTGTGGTGATGCTTTCTCCTAGGAATAGAGTTCTGGTAACTAGAGCCACAAGGCTGCCCCTCAGCATCCATGAAACAGGTCTGGGCCATGTACTGGGTTGTTTCATACCCATGTGGTTAAAGAGCTGGCATTTGACAGTTGGGCAACGCTTACAAAAACAAATCCCAGTCAACAGTGGGCACACAGAAAGCACAATGAAAACACTAATTATAAATCTTTTCTATCTATGTTGAGTGGCAACAGAATTGCAGCTTTTCCTTAGCATGGCCAGAGTGCAAACTGAGCGTGAGATCCTGGAGGAGAATTCTAGCTACATTGAGTGGACTCACAAGTGGTGTGTTTTTGGAGAGGGCGGGGGAAGCTAGCAGATGATGTCCAGATTTTTCTTAAAGAGAGAGTCTTGACAAACCTATCATTCTACTCATGAGCAAAGAAACTTCACAAAGAATCTGAAGTCAAAGGAGATTCTGAGCACAAAGCTGCAGTTTCTTTTAGAACTTGATTTATGATTCCAGACGAATTGCTGCAACTCCAGGGTTATCCAGCAGGGAGGGTGGGAAAGGCAGAGCCATTAATCAGAAGGTGGCAGGCGACCCCTCCAGATTAGCCAACTGCACAACGAAGTAGGTGAGGGCAGGTAGAGAAAGAGTACCCCTCGTCTCATGTTCTGATGGCTCTCAGAACAAGAGTGACAGGACTTGCCTGAGGATTACTTAATTCTGGCGCTGCCACCCAAGAGTTGCAGGACATGAAGCAAACTACTGGAAGTGAAGCCTTGGGCCTTCCAAGATGAGGGTATAGCATCTGCCTCAGAGGGTTATTAATGACATAGTGAGCATTGATTAAAGCACCTAATAAGTGCCAGGCCTGGAACGAGGCACTAGAGAGCCAATGACAGTTTCATGTGATCAGTTACCTAGCGCAACTGGAACAGACATTACCTAGCAAACAGTAGCTGCTCAACAAATATTAGTTCCCTTCCTCTTACTATCTGTCTCCTGGGCATCTGTTATGTGTGACCCACTGGAACTGACATTCTGCAGCACCTGATAGCTGCAAAACTGGCTTCACACATGAAAACAAATGCTAACAGGTTTTAAACATTTGTTGACAAGGTTGTTCCTTGGAGACAGTGTTTATCCATAGAGAGCCTGCTTGGGTGGGGGGAAGATTTTGAGCTCATATTTTCCCTCAATGGAGTGTCTTCTTTTTAAAAATCAGTTTTATATCTTAGACTTTTAAGATAAATCCAACTTATTTATGGAGTGTCATGAATGTGCTTGACCCTGCTATTGGGGCCCAGGACACATCACTGAAACCAAGATGCCTGTCCTCCAGAGCTCATATTACAGCAGGGAAGACATGCAGTGAATGGTAAACACAGTGGTGTGATGTTTAGTACATTGTGTGGTGATATGTGCTTTGGGACCATAAACAGAAAGCAGGATGGGGTAAGGAAATTGCGTTCATTTTTACAGAGGGCAGGTCTCACGGCGATGACATTTCAGCAGACGCTTGGAGGTAATGGAATCACTCCAATATCTTGAGGGCAGGAGGTAAGGAAGCAGCCCAGGCAAGGATTCAGAAGTGCGGGGAGGGCCGGAGGTGAGCCTGGTAACCGGGAGAGCAAGGGGCCAGTGTAGATGCAGTGGTTGTGTGGGGTGGGGTGCACTGGGTGCCTGGGCTTTGCAGGCCAAGGAAAGGGCTTTGCTTGCAGCGTGAGTGAAAAGGTTGTCACCTGGAGCAGAGGAATGTCAGCATCAGATTTACATCTTAAAACTGGAGAATGGCTGTGGAAGGAACCCAGGCTCGGCCGGCGGGTACAGGTGGAAAAATACCCATTTATCTGCGCTGTCACCCTTCCAGTCCTCTTGGCACGAAGACTAGGCAGGTGATTTCTATTTCCATATTATGCACGGGCAAACTGTTTTGTGGTGAGGCTGCTGGCATTCTTGGAAGGCCCAGAGTAGGAAAGTGGTGGGCAGAGTGTTGCGTTCCTACAGCCCCAGGACTTGGTCTCAGAGGCATTGCCAGACAGTAGGGGCTATTAGCGAACAGTGCCCATGTGGGTTTCTCATGCCCTCGAGGACTGTTTTGGTACAAAGGAAAGACCATCTGGGACTAGGTACTACTTTGGGATTTTTTAAATTGATATTTTATTTATTAAAGTTGCATATTCAATCCAGAAGGCTGAGGCAGAGGATCATAAATTCAAGCACAGCCTGGGCAGCTTTAGCAATTTAGCAAGAAAGTGTCTCAAAATTAAAGAAACAAAACAAGGTCCCAGATTTAACTCAATGGCACTGTGCCTATCTTCTAAGCATAAGGTCCTGAGTTCGACACCTGGTACAAAAACAAAACAAAACAAAAGGCTAGGGATGTAGCTCAATGTGAAGGCCACAGGTTCTGTCCCCAGTACTGGGGGGAGAAGGGGTTACACATTTTTAAAAAATGATATTCTGGGCTGGGAGTTAGCTCGGTGGTTCCGCCACCTGCCTTGCAAGCACAAGGACTGGAGTTCGATCCCAGGTACCAAAAAAAAAAAAAAAATTTCCCTTGGGTTTATAACTCTTATTATGTTCTAGTTATAAATTGTAGGTGGCCAGTGAAAGTTTGCAGATGTCTTCACATTTCAGAAGATCCTTCCTTGCTGTACACTTCAAACATGAACCGATACTGTATATCTCACCTGGCGCATCCCACATGACATATTGCATACACAGCGAGAGAGCATTCTGCTAGTGCCTGGTGTAGACCTGCAACCTGGCCAGAAGCTGACATTTGCCAGGGCTGGGGCCCCAGGCCAAAAGGTCTGTGGGATGGGCTTCCTGGCAGGCACTGAGTGACCCATCAGGTGCCTTTGTTTAGGAGATTGTGAGGCACCTGAGTGAAGAAAGAAAGGGAATATTTTTCCTTCCCTGTTCCAACTCAGGGCCTTTGCACCAGATCTTTTCAAATTTATGATTTCATTTTGAGACTATGGCTCTCTAAGTCACTCAGTTGCCTGACTTGTGCTCTACCTTGGTTTTTCAGCCTTGCTCTGGAGAAAACTTGTGAATGTAAAGTCGCTCATTGGTGTCTTCTACATGCTGATTAAAGAGCAGGGGCAGTGTGCAGTGCTGAGCCTCCATTCCTTGCTTCCCTGTGCCTTTTCTAACTCCTCCCCTCTGTCCTCCCCCTGGGTTCTTCCCCTCCCCTTCCTTCCTCTGGCATTTGTAGCTCTCCACCCGCCTGGCCCTGTTTTCCCTCATACCCCACACTCTTTGTTGCTGAATTCAAGGTTCTCAATGCAACAGAGCTTTGATGATTTTCCCCGATTGAGAAGGAATGTCAGCTTAAATGAATGAGGAGTCTGAATAATAGAATTTTAAAGCTTAGTTGCTTTTACCCTTCCTTTCCATGGAGAAATGTTAGAATTTCAATTCAGTAATAGCTGAAGTTGAGAAATGGGGCAATAGGTTTAGATATTGTTTTAAATGGTTTACCAGAAAGGAACCATTTACAATCATACAGACTTTCTTTGAATCACAGTATTTCTGCTCCAAAAATCTTTCTTTCTTTCTTTTTTTTTTTTTTGGTCACCATGATTTTATCAGGCTTCCCAGTTTCAGCAAGTTCTGATATTTTTACATCAAAAGTCTCTCTGGAAATTTTAATTTTAAATTACATGAGCAATACATGAATACTTTCTCTTTGCAAAAAAAAATTAAAATCTTAGAAGATAGCAGTATGCCAGGCATGGTGGTGCATATCTGTAATCCCAGCATTTCAGGGAGGGTAAATAGGCAGATTGCCAGAAGTTCAAGGCCAGCCTAGGCTACATAGTGAGTTCAAGGCCAGCTATATAACGAGACACTGTATCAACAAACAAACAAAAATCAGTAAATTAAAATCTTAATAATAAATAACTTGTTATCCTGTTTATACCACTTTCTTTAAGGCAATAACAATGTATTATCTCTAACTATCCTGCACAGAAGTCCTTTCTCTCTGGTGCTGTCTATGGGGAAATCACCCATACCTGATTAGGTCTCACTTTTTAAAAAACATAAATAGTGGCTGAGGTAGTTAAAGCCCCCAGCTTTCCTGGTCAATGCCGTCACGCCTCTGTCCTCCCCTCTCCTTCCCACATTGCTGCCATGTTCCAATCTCAGTTATTTTCCAAGAAAACTCAGAGTGGAGCGCATATGGCAAAAGTTAACAATCACTAATTCTAGATAAAGGTGCCTGGGTGTTCATTACACTATTTTCTCTACTTCTCTGAAACTTTAAAGTTTTTATAATTAAAAAAGAAAAACAAATTCTAAGAATAAGCAACGTATGACTCTAGGAGGAAAAGGATCAGTTCTAGCCACAAGTGTCCTCTTCCTAGTGATTCCCAGGTATGTACTGGGTAAAGCTTTTCCTCACGTATATTTATTAGCAATGTGCATAATTTTTGAGCTCTTTCATATGTAGTCTTCTTTGGCCCTGTAGGATAGGAAAGACATGTTATGGATGAGGACACAAGAGGTTCACGATACTAGCTAGTACTACCAGCTCACAGGTGATTGTCTTCTTATCAGACAGCAGGTACAGTTTTTGGTACCAACATACACTAGCTAACTTCATCCTTCCAACAACTCTATGAGTTATCTGTGCGACTATGAAGGTAGTGAGCGGTAGACTGGAACATGAACCCAGAGAATCTATCCACAAGCCTGAACTCTGAAATACCTACATGTTCACGCAATGATACGACACACGTCTTTCACCTGGTAACTCTTGGGGTGCAGACTTTAAATGTGTTTATTTGGATGGTATGGCATTTTATAATTTTTGAATTTCAAGATGTTTTTAAAGAAAGAGTTCATCTAAGAATCCAGATTTCTGGCTTACCTTGAAAAATCAGAAGTTCTGGTAACAGCCTGTAAGGTAACAACTGGTTGGAGCTGAACGCTAAGGAAAACTTTTTCATGACACTTGTTAAAAATTAAGGAAGACTGTTTAAGAAGGGACACTGAGAGCCAGGCGTGGTGGCACACACCCGTAATCCCAGCACTCGGGGGGAGGCTGAGGCAGGAGGATCACTGACTGTGAGTTCGAGACCGGCCTGGGCTACATAGTGAGTTCTAGGTCAGTTTCAACTACATAATGAGACACTGTCTCAAAAAAAAAAAAAGAAGGGCCACTGGGAAGGGATTTTGTGGTAGTGGAGAGAGACTAGGTTCAACTCTGAGCACACAAGGGAAGAATGGAACACCTGCAAGTCAGTGGATGAAAAAGGTTACTAAGCGGAAACATCAAGGATAGAGGGATACTGGCTGAAGTGATTTGAGAGGATTCCCATTGAAGGCAGGCCACAGTGATAATGTTGAGAATGTGGGAGGAGAAATTTGATCAGACCTGGACAGTGATCAGATATCAAGAGTAGGTATTTTTAAAAAATGGACTCAGCAGGTTTTTTTTTTTGTTGTTGTTGTTGCTGTTGTTGAGAAAACTGAGAGTTTTGCCAAGTTACTGAACTGCCCATGCTGGGCTTGAGCTAACCATCCTCCTGCCTCAGACTCACAGTGCTGGGATTACAGGTGTGAGCCACCACTTCTGGCTTCAGCAGGATTATTGCTGTAAGTGAATTTAGCACGCCACAGAGCCCAAGGCTGGGATCTACTCAGAGGACTTAGAGCAAATGGACTCAGATTTGCTCATCTGCAACTATTGCCTACTGCTATAGGACACACTCTCTCCAGTTTGTCATTCCCCACAACTCCCAGTTATTGCACTTTGCCTCTTTTTGCCCACTAGCATGAGCATCTCAGTTTGCAAGCCCTAAACTACGGAAGCCTACAATCTCAAAGAAGCAGAATATACTTTCTGCCCTGGTGCTATCACCAGACTACCAAAAGTCTCCGTTTATTCATCTGACTATCCAGCCAACCATTCACTCAGGCACCCACCCATCATCCACCTTTCTACTCTTCCCATCTATGCACGCTCTTTCCCTTAGCAATTCTCAGATGGCACAAATCACATCTACATTTCTTGGCCAACATCTACTTTTCTCCCATTCAGATTAGAAGGGTAGAGTGAAAGGATGAGAAATGATCTGATGAGGAAAACGGGGCATTTTCCCTGAAAATTTACATGTTGAAGCACTAATACCCCATGTGGCTATATTTGAAGATAGGACTTTTATTTATTTTTTTAATGTTTTTTTAAATAGGGCTTTTAAAAAGCAGGTAAATCAGGTTAAATGCAGGCTTAAGGGTGGGGTCCTAATGCCATAAGACTGGTGCCTTTATAAGGTCAGGAAGAGACACTAGGAGATCATGTACAGAGGAAAGCTACAAGCCAAGGAATGAGCCCCTGAGAGAACTCCAAACCCGTTGGCACCTTGATCTTGGACTTCTAGTCTCCAGAACAATGAGAAAATAAATGTCTGCTGTTCAAGCTACACAGTCTGTGGTATTCTTTATGGCAGCTGAGCAGACTACAGCAGGGGACTGTTTTTCACATGCCCTCTGTCCACGTGTCACCACCACCCTCCACCTCTTTCCCTGCACAGACCATCTCCTAGGGCCATCTGGGTGAATGGCCTTGACAAACTGTCAGGAACGACAGTTAAGAAGGCTATGGTTTCTTCAACAGTATGAATGCCACCATTGGGACGAGCTCTGAGGATGGGGAAAGGATGGAGAAGGCGCCCTAAAGAATTCTACCAATAAGACGAACTCAGACCATTTCAATTCACATCTGTCTGACACAAAGAAATGTTGCTTCAAGTTCATGGCATAAGAAGACTTGGGAACTGAGATGGGGGCATGGAAAATATTAGCAAAAAATATTAGTAGGAACACTGAGAGCGATAGGTCTCTCCGGCTAGTTTGCTGGGTATAGCAAGCTGTTCTGTCTGGAGATTTGAGTCCAGTTTAAGCAACATAATTGCTACAAAGTTTGCTGCATTTTAAGCCTTCCTGTGGGTCTCCACCAGGTGTTCTAGTTAGAGAGGCTAACGTATTGACACAAAGATAGGTGGTTACTGATTAATCCCGGAGGGGCCTAGAGACCTGGGGGAAAGCCAAACTGGCTTCTACTTCATTCTGCGTCTACTTCCAAGCTGTTAGATTGAGAATATCTGTGGAGTTTGGATGATGGTGCTGGCCTGAGAGGCTG